CAGCTCCAAACTCAGCATTTGATTCCGATACATTCGAGCGTAACTTTTGGGTAGACGGTCTCGACCTTAGAAGTACTTTGAAAATCGACATTGTAGATTGCCACCCAAAACGTCGTCAATTGGAAAAAAAGAACTTGTTAGTTTGTCTCTCATCCTGAAGACATAGGGGGATAATATAGAAAAAAAGAGTAACTAACGGGTTCTGTTGACCATTAGCGGCCTCAGAAAATGGGGAAGGTGAGAACTGATTGCAAGAAGCGCTTCTGACGAGAGAATCATCAGCACTAGAGCGAGCCGGAAGGAGGCCAGAGGGCCCAGCGGGGTTAGGTGAATTGCTATGGGAGTTATTGTTACTGCTTCCACTACTACTGCTACTACCATTGTGGGTGCGAAAGACGGAATCCATAACCGACCAGCGTTTTTTGGATCGACTGGGCACGGTGAGACTGCTTGGTTGGTTCTCTTGATCTGAGTTGACGCCCGAGGGCACTCGGGACGGCGTCCTCGATGATAATAGAGCGGACGGTGTTGCTGAGTTCGCTCTTGAGGCATCGTCTGCCATTGGATTGAGCCCAGCTCTTGGAAGGGAAGTTGATCCAACAATCGGGTGATGGCCCAGTTCGGCAATCTCATCGGTGACATTAATCTGCGGATGCACATCATTCGGTGCGTTTAATGGGGGCCCGGGCACAGATTGTGTATTGGCCGTGGGTTTCTTTAAAACAGATGGGACCTCTCCCATCGAGGTACGCGGTTCACGCGCTGGGGCGGAAGCGCTGATCCCAAGAGCGGCGGAGTTGGCGGCGGGTTGGGACAAGACATCAACCAGGTTGACTTGACTGCCATCCACAGACTCGTTGTCAGTATCTGTTGCTAAGGCAGACCGAGGAACGAGGCGAGAACTTGTGATCGGTTGGATCGGCAAGTTGGGATTTGGGATGCGTTTACCGGCTTGGGCTAGCAATTGGGAACGCTTCTTGATCACTTCTACCAAGGCGGTCCCTGCGGGCTCCCCTTGTCCATTGTTGGGTTCAGGTTTGCCTGTCCGCTCGCCTTCATGAATACCGGTCATGTTGGGCCGACGAGCGAGAACATCATCGGTATTGATTATGGGAGGTGGTCCACGCTGGGAAGAGCCATTCTCCCTTTCTTCAGTCGCTTGTTCTAGACCAACTTGAACAGCATCGCGGCCGAGAGCCATGTGATTTGTAGGTAATTGATCAGAATTTTCGGCCCTCAAGGACTGAAGAGCTGATGTGAGTGTCGGGCCTAAGAGTCCGAGTGGGGAGACGAAAGATGAGGAATCAGAAGTGCTGTGTAGGCTGCTTCTACGAGTATCGGCTACTTCGAAAGCCGATGTTCCGCTCGGGAGTCGACTACCAACAGTACTACTACGGCGTAGGGCTGTTTTCACGGGCGATTTGGTTGCCTGACTGGGTTGGTTGGCGACTGTGGTAGGTTGACAGGAACTGGATTTGGCCATCGTCTGACCGGGTCCCAGCTTACCGCCATACGGTGGAGGTGGGGAGTATTGCGGTGAGTTGGATGCGTTGGGCTGAGCTGGGGCATTGGCAACGCGTTCTTTACCCTTGTGTGGGGTGACTCGTGCTAACGTCTTTGGGAGCCAAACAAAATCCTCCTTTTCTTCCAGATCTTGAATCTTTTTCGCAACGATTGCTCTGATCCCGTCAAGTGCGTAGACTTTGGATTGTCAAACAGAAAGATGGTAAGCAAATGATCGACTTTTGGATTTGACTTTCGAGGGAATACTTACCTCGAAGATGGTCATTCCGACCAGCTATCGCCAAAAGAATGTTACTCCTTACTTCGAGAACCTTCAAACTCTTGAACCTGGTCTTTTTAATCAAGCTGATTGGTTTGACGGTATGAACAGATCCACGGGACCGATCGGAGCTATTGGAGGACTTGGTGAATGGAGTGAGTGGGACAAAGTCCAAACCACTATTGGTTCCGATCAGCAAGAATTTGTCATCAAGAATTGCACCGCAAAGAGGCTGTGAGTTTCGAGAGGCGGGTAAGGTGGGCGTTAAGGGGCTAATTTTGAGATTCATGGACCCCAAAGTTAGAGCGGTGGCGTAAGAAGAATTCATCCCGGGGCTGGCGGTCTTGTCAGCTGAATGGAAAAGAAAAACAAGGACAGGAATGAGATGGTATATGTAAATTAAAGGAATCGCGAGAATTATGATAGAGAAAAGCAGTTGATCGCACAATTCGCAGCATCCATGGGTTGACTGGATGTCCCGTGGGACTCGAGGCCTAAGCGGTTGTGCGGACCGCGAAGAGTGCCATCGGAATGAGTTGGTCGATTGAAGGTAGATTCAAACGGATTGCGACTTGCTGATCCGGGGGCGGAGGAAGGGCCGGGTGAGGTTGGGTTGGAATTGGAGCCCGAGGCGCGCTGAAGGAGAGTAGAGAAGAAGTTGCGCTTGCCCTACATGAATGAATAAAACAAAATGAGAGATTTGTAGAATATCATGAGGAATCAAGGAAGGATGAGGTAAGAGGGTCAGT